ATCAGGAGAAGTCTCCTCAATTGATATCTCATTCTCAACATCAGGAGATAGAACACTCATGGTCGAGATGTATTGTATAGGTATACAAGCAGAAGGCATATGAGTGGCGAAACGAATGATTTCTCGAGTACCACACACATTCGAACCATAAAGCTGACTATATGGAAGTACAAAATTAACAGATGCACCACAATGAAAAATGACATCGATTTCACGAGCAAGTGACTCGTATGTTTCATTATCCAATCCAAAACAATTTTTGGCAAGATCACCTTGTAATGCAATGATTCGATCTTGATAGTCGTCTTTCCATATCTGATAGAATAACATAGCCTCTCGAATGCGATCTAATGCCTTCGTCGAAGATGAACATCGAACAAGACATATAAATTTACACTCGCCACGATAGACTGTTAATAGTTCGGCTAGTAAAAATGCACCAACAAATCCTGTTGTTCCAGTAATGAAAACCATCGAAGGACAATCACTTGTGATCTTACGTTTGCCAACTGTTGTTATATTTAAATCTAAGTCAGCATCATTCAACAATTGTGGTACAAGTGATTGAGAAAGAGAAGAGAGCTGAGAAGGATCTTGGATGAGAGTTGTTAATTGTTGAAGAGTCATTTTAGGATCGAAGAGTATGTTTAATGGTATCGACATTCCTAGATCATTCTCAAGCATACGAGATAAACGAACAGCTGATAATGAATCACCACCATTAGCCAAAAAGAGATTGTCTTCTTTATCAGTTGACATCGATTGTCCTGTTGCTGTTTCGATGATCGTTTTCAGTTGTTGTTCAATAATGTTCGATGTTGTTTTGAGTCGATTAGCATAATGTGCAGCTAGTTTATACCGACAAGGTTTCATGGAAGAAGTGAGAAGACCATTTTCAGATGTGAATGGTTGAAAATCAATGATTATTCTTGATGGAATTTCGTGTTTTCGAAGTGATTCTTTTTCAGCGATTGAACGAAGATCTTGTAGAAGTGCATCATAAAAGAGTGGATCAGGATTGTTCATGTCGAGTGAAGTCAAGTTATGGTTGAGACTAAATGCTTGTGCATATGCTTGGTTAAGTACGATAACAGCAGTGACAGAATCTGCTAATAGATCACCATGAATATAGATCTGATGGATGAAAGGACTTTGAATGTAGATGCCTTCAAGAAACTCGGGTGATATAAATTGTCCTTGTGAGAGTTTGAAGAAGTTTTTCTTACGATCAATGACATGTAAACTAGATACAACATTATGACAGGTACGTAATTCGACAACATCACCAGTTCGAAAGAAGCCATCTTCTGTGAGAGCAGTGTGAGTCTCTTCTGGGTTGTTGATGTATCCAGAAAACATATGTGGGGTTTTTACCAAAAGTTCTCCTCGTGGAAATGGTTTGTCATCAAGAGTGTAGCCCATGTCTGGAACAGATTCTAGGCGATATTGAAGTGCGTTTCCAACATCGTTGTCGCAGGTGACACTACCACATTCACTTATTCCATAGGATTCAATTACCATACAATGTGTAAAACATCGTTTCATAAAGTTTAATATTACTGGACTAGCCTTGGCACCACTGATACAAATTGTTTTGCATCGGTTTGGAATGAGTTTGGAGAATTGTTGTAGAAGATGTTGTTCTTCTGTTTCTATGACTTCGGGTGAATGAGAGACGGTGATAAGCGATAGAGCTGTTTTGAATTCCGTGTAGATTTTATTCCAAATACTTGGAGGACCACCAAAAGATGAAGGTCTGACAAGAGCTAGTTCTTCCATAAGCCGAGAAGGATCTCCAGTAGAGAACCCAGTACGTCCTCCGTTGAAGAAAGTTGCAATAATGGCATCACGATCAGTTGCCCATGCCAGTGGTCGATAGGAAAACGTAATTTGATCAACAGAAGATGACAGACACCATTGTGGAAACGCAGATCGAAAAGTACTTTCTGACATCATTGCGCCCTTAGGAAAACCTGTGCTTCCACTTGTATATATGATCGTGAGACAATCATCAGGCCCAATGGTGACATAGTCATACTGTTTGATTGAGCCATATTTTTCGATGTCCCCCATAAAGTGAATTGATAGTCCATTGTATGTTGTACCTAATAAAACAATACCGATAGTGTTGTATTCAAAACATCAACAAAAATACTTTTAATGTTCACTAGTTCATAAAGTGCTCACTTATGAAATATGAATCATTCATTCTTGTCACAAACAGTGTTTATAACTATTTCAAAGAGATGCTTGAGAGAACCATCTGTTTCGGAGAAATAACTTAGTGTTGATATACTGCAGAAGAATATTCACTAAATTCTGAAAGAGAACACGGAAGTCGAAAATACATCGCATTACTGGTATTCTGTAGACCAAGACGATGTCACTACTCATTCTATTGACTCAAATTACCAACAAGGACTAAATTCTGAAAATATGAACTTTCTCAATCTCACTATGCCCTTCTGATAATCATATCGAACAATTGTGTTGAACTATTCTATATAAGTAGGTCCACTTTTGGCGTCACACTATAGACTTACTAGATATTGTATCGGGAATAGAATCCATGCACACAATATGATGAAGGGATGGACATAGTGGATACAGCTCAATAAATCTTGGCAGCCTTTGCTTGTCACAAACAATCACCGACACTTGTGTGTTATTGATAACATAGGCAATTTCACGATCATTAAACAAAGTATATATTGGCACAGTAATGATATTCTGAAGCATACAAGCAAAGTCAGTGATCATCCACTCAGGTCGATTAGCTGCACAGATGCCAAGATATCCTCGAGGTTCAATTAAACGTCGTAGTCCATGTCCAAAGTTCTTTGATCGATCACCCACTGTTTTGAATGTTAACCATGAATATGAATCTGTATAGAGTGAGGGATTATCTCTATCAATGTCTCGCACACCCATACAATGACGATCCCAGTACAACGCTGTTGCAACCCGAATTCCAGTGGCCATATCTATTACAGCAGTTTCATTTCCGTCTTCACAGCCGTATGCTAGTTCACGAATCATTCGATGAGGATGAGGTGGATCAAGTGTCGCTGCACATTGTTCACAATAATCATAATTATTACATACTGTGCAGTTAAAACGAAACTCGCCATGAAAAAGGTTTCGCCGGCAACCGTTGCAATACCAATAGCTAAGTTTTGTAGTTTCAGTCATATTAACAGCAATCTTAAGAGCAAAAGAAAAGAATCAGTAATGCAGTAGGTATCTTTTTTTTCTCTGATCGAACCTTCTATATATTTATACATTGTTTGTCAAGTTAGTGAGAAGTTCAGTAAGGAATTATACGAAATAAGATATATTCGGAAATGCCCAAAAAAGATTCTGTTGAACCTGACAAAAAGTTCTCGTAATGTTTGGTTGGTCTTGCGGCAATTTTGTAGAGCAAAAAATGTTTTTTTTTTCAATATTAAAACAGAGTAGTTTTTAACAACCATTAGTGATAGCGTATGAAGCCATATTCTTAAAAGATAGATGTGAAAAAGTTATATAAACATTACTGTCATATGTCACTCATATAAGCTTGGATAAAAGTTGTGATCGTCAGATTTGCTGGCGACACCGAGAATTCTTGTGATAAAACTAGACTGAAAATATGAACTGTGTATTTTTGTGTCATGTTTTCATAGACGCATTTTTTACACACGGAAAAATTTCAACTTATTTAGTGTAATTTGACACTGAAAATTTTATATCAATTATTCAAAGATCTTCTATTAAGGATCTCCGCAACGAAAATCAAATCAAGAAATGTTACTAACTTTGACAAGTAAATGATCTTATCGAGTGAAGAACAGCAATACTTATACGTGACAGATGACAGATAAAAAGGTTGCACAATAATGGTTTAAGGGAAATAACATAGTTGACTCACGTCGTCTGTTATTTCAATCAGGCATACAATGTTTTTTCTGTCACTACAATTTAATAACAACACAAACTTTATAAGTATTTGATGTCATGTGCAGAGCAACAAATGTTTGGCTTCTCTTCTTGTATATATATGATTCATACCCGCGTCACATATCGCCTTGAGCGTGTAACGCGTAACTTCGCGACCGGGAGTTTGAAGTCATCATTTCTATAACTCATGGTCGTCATCTTATAGAATATAGTCTGAAGTGTAGAGAAATACATTTTGTTCCATTGATAAATGCGTTTAATCGTATGTAATAAATTGTGACAGAGATGTCGCTAATAGACACAGCAAATTCCTCTATTTAGACCATTAATCAACCTAACCAATATATCGAAACAGCTTCCTATATACAAAGTTAATTAAGGCTTATCAAGACTATGATAAACGATGTATCTTTTGGCATAACAATTGATTTCGTATGTGTTATATGTTTTTGCAGCGAGTCTAACTAAAATTACCCTCATTATAACGTCATCGCGTAACGAAAAATGAATATTTTTTTTTCTAATTTGCTAATCTCAACATTTTTTCACAAAAGATATACACCTAAAGCTAGTTTTTTAGGGTAAAAACTAAGTAAAAATACGATGTGAAATCCTTCATGTAAAACCGTCGAGGAGTTTGCAAACTGAACTGAATATGGCACAGAAAGATTCACCGCCTTTTTCTGCGTCTTTTGGTATATATCTTTGAATGAATTAAAGATGGGCCGATTCCTATTCGTATACGTCTCCGTCCTTTCGATATTAACTATTTTATAAAATTTTAAAAACCGGGCTTAGAACTTTTGGTCAACCCTAAGTATTTCACTCCGTTTTTCTCACGCCCTGAAGTCTTTTGCGGCCACTCCTTTGCTTTTTGTCATCCGCTACGTTGATGAGTGAGATCGATCGATGGTAACTCCTGTTTCAATTTAAACTCGAGAGTAAACATCTTCTTTTATCCTTTGCCATTTTTTTGTATGTCCTCTTTCCATTTTAGCTGTTTTGTATCTGACATTGTTACCTCGTGCTTTCGTTTTCTTATCTGTCATTATCACGTTTCAATGTTCTCTGCATCCACTGCTCCCGCTCTTACGTGTACCAATAAAGAAAGTGATGCAGCACCGTTTTGTGGTGATGATTCTGTTACTCGTATGAATAGTATAATTAAGCGATTTAATTTGATTGAATTACCATTGGAAAGTGGCTTATATCAAATGATTGATCGTTCTTCGTTAGAAGTATTTATTCCTTCTCGTACATCAGATCCAACATTACGTGCTCAAAGTCATATTTATTATATGTTAACATATTTACGGCCAAATGAACCACATTTAGCATATAACTATTTACATTCAATAGATGATGCCGATGATTTGCACATATTAGTGGAAGGGGATAGTGTGAATTATTATTTATTTTTTAATGATGGACATGTTGAACATAAAGTTCTAGGTCATGATTATGGTACTGGTGATGTACCAGTTGTCGCAATCCCAGGTACAATTGCTTCCAAAGCGCTAAAACTACGTCATGGAAACAATGGATTTGCATTCATCGTCAGTATTATTACACCAGAATGGATAGCTGATCGATGCAGAATTGGAGCCGGGCAATTATTTCTTGATACATACATTAGAAAAGAAGAATGGTGTACGAAAGAATTTCTAAAAGAGTTAATTGGACCAAACTGGAAAGACACCAATACAACGGACAATCGACAGTCGCATTCATCTGCTGCTGATTAGAATAGTATTCGCTATATGAAACAGTTTGTGAGCTCGCGGTCACAAGCTGCAATTTCTGCTTGCTTGTACTATAACCTTTTTTTTCTTGTATTCGCAGATTTCAACAATGATATACTAAAGCACGCGAAAGCAACAACTCTAATCACCTGAAGACACAATAATTCCATGTCAAAGCAACTATTGTGGGAGTGTTTTTAAGTATCAACCGGCATTTTTTTGAATAACTCTTCGTCATTGATAGTTATCTGGTTCGGGTTTTAGCCATTTGATAGAGTGACGCGGGGGGCATCTGGCTGTATTCAAAAAGTTTTCTATATTTTTTGATACATCACTCCCATAGTTCTCATAGCAACATAGGCTCAAACTACACCAGAATGTAGCCCGACTCTTGTTCTATCCACCATAAAATTTTCACATCGTTTGACCTTTT